GATTACAGGCATGAGCCATTATGCCCAGCCTTCTACACAAATGTATCTATTTTGTTAAAAAAAAAAAGTATAGCAATAAAAAATATTTCAAGCAAATAAATTGTAATCAATATTATTCTCCGTGGGAGTCTCCTGGGACCAGCTTCAAGTGATTAGATTTTAAAGGCCAGCCTTGTCGTCCACCAGTTTGCTATGAGGGTCTGAGATTTAGGATATGGACAAGTCTGGCCAAGCCTGAATTGGAGAGCAGAGGACAGTCAGCAATGTCCACAGACGAAGGATGAAAGCCGAAAAGGTCAAGACTATGCCCCGTGGCTTCCTCTGACCCATCTCAGCCCTCCTTCAGTGACCAACTCATTAGCTACCTCAGGCCTCGGTTAAAATGACACAGCTTGCTCCTCGTTTATTTCCTTCATGACACTTACCACCATTGCAATTATTTTATTCATTTGAATATTTCTTTTCTGTTGGTTTGTTTCCCCTCACTAGGTGGCACATTCCCTGGGGCTGGGAGCAGACCTAGGTCACCTCTGTGTCCCCAGGGCCAAACATAGCACCTCACCCATTGCAGGTGCTCCAAAAATACCTATGGGTTAAAAGAATTGTGAAGAATTAGGAAAAAATGGCTATCTGGGGAGGTCAGAAGAAAGAGCAGGAGAGAAAGATGGAGGGGAACGGAGAATGAAAAGCAAATTAAAGGTTCATTTGAGCCATAATGTCACAAGGAGCAGGAGGAGTGAAGGAACAGCCACCACGCCTGGCTGGGATGCCACCGTAGGGCTAAGCTTGGTTAAATAAGAGGAACACAGCTGGGACATCCTGGCAGCTGGAGCCCTGCAAGGTGGGACGTGGGCAGTCAGCCTAAGCTTGCTGTTTCTAAGAGTCCAGTCAGAGTCTGTATTGCTCTGCAGAGCAGAGAGCCGAACAAGACACAAGGAGGTGTGAGTATAAACTCCTCCAACGGGTGCTGCTCGGTCAGAGGAGGAATCGTACCCTGCTCCTTTCCCAAGGGTTGCTGATATTGATATCATTTTAAAAAGAATAGTGAATTATACACAAAAAGAAAAATAGTAGAAACAGGCCAGCTGTGGTGGTTCATGCCTGTAATCCCAGCTACTTGGGAGACTGAGGCAGGAGAATTGCTTGAACCCGGGAGGCAGAGGCTTCAGTGAACCTACGTGCCACTGTACTCCAGCCTTGGCGACAAGAGTGAGACTCCACCGCAAAAAAAGAAAAGAAAAGAAAAGAAAAGAAAAGAAGAGAGAGAGAGAGAGAGAGAAAGAAAGAAAGAAAGAAAGAAAGAAAGAAAGAAAGAAAGAAAGAAAGAAAGAAAGAAAGAAAGAAAGAAAGAAAGAAAGAAGAAACAGTTCATCAAGAAAGAAGCCGCTGCCTGGCATGGTGGCTCACATCTGTAATCCCAGCATTTTGGGAGTCAGAAGTGGGCAGATCCCTTGAGGTCAGGAGTTAGAGATCAGTCTGGCTAATGTGGTGAAATCGCATCTTTACTAATATTAGCCAGGTGTGGTGGCACACGCCTGTAATCCCAGCTATTCAGGTAGCTGAGGCCTGAGAATTGCTTGAACCTGGGAGGCGGAGTTGCGGAACCGAGATTGCGTCATTGCACTCCAGCCTGGGTGACAGAGTGAAACCCTGTCCCAGAAAAATGAAAAGAAAAGAAAAGAAAAAAAAGAAAGGAAAAAGAAAGAAGCTGCTAAATGGGAACATGAGATACAACCCGGGTGTGATGTTATGATTATGACTGAATATATATATATAGAGAGAGAGAATATATATATAGAGAGAGAATATATATATAGAATATATAGAGAGAGAATATATATAGAATATATATAGAATATATATATATTCTATATATATAGAAATATATATATATTCTCTATATATATAGAAATATATATATATTCTCTATATATATAGAAATATATATATATTCTCTATATATATAGGAATATATACACACACACACACTTATCAACAGTTCCTAGTCATAACCTCCATAGCCCTTATCACGGTCTTTCGTTGCAGTGTTGGGGTGCTTTAGCCCTCAGATGCAGGCCTCATGAAACAGAATCTCTCTCTCTGACCTCCTGTCCTTCTTTCACCTGCCCAAGGCAAGACTCGAATCTGACGGTGGGTCAAAACCCTTATTCCAGAGGGGATCCTGCCCCATATCCTAGAGGAAGGAATCCTGCACAGAGAGATAAGAAAAGTCTGAACAGACAGGCCTTGTTGGATTTCGATCATGTGCTTTTGGTCCAGTCACATTTCTACATGGTTTAATCATGCCTGTGTAGCACAGCTTCTGTAAAAATCCAAGAGGACAGGGTTCAGGGAGCTTCCAGATAGCTCCCAAGACAGAGAGAGAATAGAAGCTACAACTTAAGGGAGAATTTCTGCTGTAACTTACTGGCCAAAGCAAGTCACAGACCAACTGGCAAAGTGATGCCACAAAAAGGGCAGTTGGGAAAGGGGGTCATTGTAACCTCCTTTGGCAACACAGACCCTTACGAATACTGAGGCTGTGAACAAGTGTTGACTTCTTGATGTTGATGACTGAAGGCTAGTGACAGCAGTTGTTCGGACAGATCCATTGCCTGCCCACACGGTAGCTCTAGGACCACTGTTCGTCACACACAACTTTTGCTCCCTGTCAACTTCTTTCTCTTCCATAAAATCTGCAGCTGATATGTACATAAAGGCTCAATATCAAGATGGTAAGATTGTCACTGCTTGCAGCTTCATTGCTTTGCTTATTCTTCATCATTAAGTTTCAAACTTTTCCACAGAAATGACCGTACAGGCTCAGAAGAGTGATGGCGTTACCCCGAGGAGACTGGCCCCATTCAAAAGCACATTTCCTTCACATCTAAATTCCTATCTTAAAAAATCATGCAGATTTTACTTCTAATCTATAAAATGTCTATCTGCTTTGGCAGAAATTTTTAAAACATACTTTTCTCCTCCAAATTCACCCACAGAGTTGATGTTATAGAAAGTGTCTTCCCACGCACAGAAACCTGGGACTGGCACTGGTACCCTGCTCCAGACCCACGGGGTGAGGCTACACCCCACAGAGCAGCAAAGCTTGTAATTCCCTCATTCAGGAACTGCTGCTGATGCTGACCGAGCCCTGCTCCCACTGGGAGAAATGGGGCCCAGAACTCAGCAAGGAGGCAGGCCTGGGGGCAGTCCTAGCTGAATGATCATAAATTCAAAAATATTTTATTGAATATAGATGGAGTTCTAAAATTCCAGAAAGAGACTTGTATCCTAAATAGTGGAGCTCCGTGGACAAGAATGGAGACATCCTGGCCCCATAACAAAGGCAGCATCCATGCAGGATGGCAGCAGGGGTTCATGACTGAGGGATCTGAGGCCACTGAGGGTGTTAGGCAAGCCCGTGAGATGCTAACTCTTCACTGAGCAGTCACTGTGTGCCTGGCACAGGTTAACAAGGGGAAGCTTAGGTCATAGTTCCTGGCTGGGCAGAGTGGCTCCCGCCTGTAGTCTCATCACTTCGGGAGGCCGAGGTAGGAGGATCACTTGAGCTCAGGAGTACTAGACCAGCCTGAGCAACAAAGTGAGTCCTCCTCTCTATAAAAAATTTAAAAATTATCTGGGCTGCATCTTGCATCTATAGTCCCAGCTACTTGAGAGGAGGAGGTGGGGGGACGGCTTGAGCTCTGGAAGTTGAGGCTCCAGTGAAATGTAATTGTGCCGCTGCACTCCAGCCTGGGACACAGAGTGAGACGCTGTCTCAAAAACAAACAAATGAAAAGACATAGCTCCTGTGGCTGGGCAACATGCACTTCTGAAAAGAGACCTCTCCCCACCCCATGCACCTCGAGACACGAACAGGCAGAATGGGAATGCTGAGATAACCAGCAGGCTCAGGGGAGCTCACTCAGGTCCCAGGGGAATCAGAACGAGACCTCAGTGTCCCCTGCCCCAGCCAGACTCCCAGCCTCAAGCAGTGGTCCCTAAAGTGGATACCCCCTACCACCAGCAGCAGCAGCAGCAGCAGCGCCTGAACGCTAGTTAGAAATGCAGATTCTCGGGCCCACTGGACCCTAGGGAGTAAGCCACTCGGTGGCAGCACGCAATCTGCATTTCAGCCAGCCCTCCAGGGGATTCCAGTGCAGCTGAATTCTGAGATCTCTGGCCTCATGTGCCCACAGTACTCGGGAGACAGCCAGTGGAGCGGGTAGGAACTCAGGCTTCAGAGGAAGCCGGTGGCTCGGAGTCTGGCTCTGACTTACCAGATCTCATAAGCTCGAACCCATTTTCAGCCTATCTGAGCTCTGTGTCCTTACCTGTGGAAGACGGTGCCAAAAGGTTTGATGAAAGAAGGGGAGGTGAAGTGATGTCAGCTTCCTGGCATTGAGCCTGGCCCATTGCGCCTGCTCAGCACCGGCTGCTTCCTCCCGTCTCTCCGCTGACACTGTCCACCCAGCCCTCTAGCATGTTCTCCACCACATCCACCTGGTGGGCACAACTCTGGACAAGGAATCATCCAAGCAGTGCTTTCCCTGCAGAAACCACATCCTTGGCGGGACTCCGGCTGTTGCAAATCCCTGGCCCCAGCCCCCAAGGAAACTTGGCCTCAAGGTAGCCCCCCATGGATGCAGCATAGCTTTGCCCATCCATGCTGCAGCTCTCTTGAGTGCCCGACCCCACGCTCACCACTCTCCACACCACAGAAATCACAGTGAGTCTATCACATAAACACAACATGGCCTCTGCATCCAGATTCCCAGTCAAGGCCCCTCACACCCACCCAGTCCCAGGGCTGGACTGGGCCTACAGATGTCAGCACTGGGGGCAGGTGAGAACCGACCAAAACCTGGTAACGAACCCGCCTATCTCTGAATAACTGCATGACCTTTCTCTAGACACTTAACCTTCTCAAGCCTTTGTGAAGATCATATGATATGTTTTGAGAGTACTTTGTACCTTGTAAAACCATATACGAATCTCAATTGTTATTACGGATGATACAGTCTTTAATTCCCTTGCAGGCAACACCGTTTTCCCTGGATCATAAATTCCTAAACAGGGCTGTGTGCTTTGTACAGTAACTAATTCAACTCCCTGTAAGTGCCTGATAGACATAATTTATAATGATGGTCACATATGTAAACCATAACATGGACCATGTAATTGGTTGGCTTTTCTTTTGCAAGATGTGTATGGTACACAAATTCAAAATCACTTACATTTAATCGTATAAGCATCTTTAGATATGCAAAGTGTATATATTCATGCCATCTGTTAAATCCTGATTTGCTAAGCATGTGCGTATAAAGACATCTGGGCTATACCGATTTCATAGATGTTTCCCTCAAATGCCCTGACAATGGAAGCAATCTGCTTCGACATTTTCAGATACATTTTCCCCACTTAACTGGGAGCCTCCTCCCAGGGGGCAGTGACGTCAGTGCAGTGCTCACCACAGCAGGCCAGAGTTCCTCACACGGAGGCGTGTGCTGCGCCAGCTGCCTGGGGCTGTGGCCTGCTCTTATCAGGAGCAACTGGTACCTCTCTCCCCACATAAACAATTAGGGAGAGGGAAGGAGAAAAGCCTTAAATATTTGCTTTCCTTTACAAGACCACCTACCAAATGTTGTTAAGACCCTGCAGGCAAAATAATCTGTCATGAGTGCAGCGCTGGGCAAATATAAACACCTCGAGGACTCTACTGAGCGGTAGCCTGGGGTCCCACATGTTTTCACAGGTTTCCTTCTGCGGAGGAGGAAGAGTCCTGCTCTCCTCTACTCCTCATCCTCTCCTGTTCTACCCCTCCCCCAAACCACATCTTGGTGAAGCACTTCATCAAAAATAGTTCGGGTTAGACAGGGTGCACATCAATAAGACAGTGCGTGGTTTTCACTACAAAGTTGGAGTCCCATCTCCTTTTCGTTCACTTTAGCATTCACCAGTGCTGAAGTGGTGGCCGGCACGGGCTGCAGGGAGCCGTTGGAAGTGAAGAGTCACAGAGCCCCGGCATCTCACACTCTGAACCCAGGGCGGGTGATAAGCAGAGGCAGGAAGCAGGGTCAGAAGGGTAAGGGAGCTTGCTTCAGTCTGTGCTTAGGGCGCAGTTCACACCGGAGATCCCAGCACAGCTCACTGCAAAACATTTTGAAACAGGAGTGCGTTTCACTCGCATACCGTGCTTCCCTCTGGTTCCTGGCGCAGCCTGGTGCAGCGGCTGGGTGGGATCCATGCAGCCACTGCTTGTCCCGCCCCTTCCCCATAAAATCACAGGGAGCTTTTTACCAAGGAAATGCTGGAAAAGTTAGCACTCTTGCAATCTTGGTGCTTTTTCTAATTGCCTATTGGAATTTGCAAGTGATTATCAGAATAGAATGAAAAGAGGTTGCCTCTAGCTGACGCTTTCTAGGCCTGCCCTGCAAAATCCCCTACAGCAGAAGTGAGCATCGTGGCTTTAGGCTGTGTCTCGAGAGGATGTGCATAGAAAAGAGAAGCCTCTAGCAGGCCATCTCTGAAAATAAATGCATCTGGCGGAGAAGCTGAGCAAAACCCTTTGTGGTCTTTTCCCAGCCACTCTACTCTGTGCCCTCCTTCCCTAGCCTCCGAGCCATTTTTTCCTCCAACAGCCTCCCTATCAGCTGCCCTAAAAGTGGCCTTTAATGGAGGTGCCGACACATCAGCCTGCTCCACTCAGGGATGTCACCCCTACAGGCCACCTCAGGGACCACCCCTCCCCCACCCGCCATCCCTGCAATACTTGACCTGTCCCTGCATCTGCAGCACTGTCCAGAGCCTGCCTGGATTTGCTCAGGACACGTGGCCATTATCCCATCTCTAGGAACTATTTGAGGAGGCCCAGGCACTGTGTACTACTATCGTCACATTCCGCTACACCCCAGTAAAGCAGGCAGGAAATAAGTGTCATTACTCTCTTAGCTCAGTCTCTCAATCTGATAAAAACCTAAACCCACGCTGGAGTGCAGTGGTGCAATCACGGCTCACTTCAACCTTGACTTCCCAAGCTCAGGCAATCCTCCCCCCTCAGCCTCCCAAGCAGCTATGACTACAGGCATGTGCCACCACGCCTGGCTAATTTTTTAAATTTTTTTGTAATAATGGGATTTCGCTATGTAGCCCAGGCTAGTCTTGAACTCCTGGGCTCAAGCGATCCTCTCACCTCAGCCTCCCAAAGTGAGGTCACATTCAACACAGTGCCTGGCATATACTAAGTACTCAGTTAAGTTTTATCAAGAAAAAACATTCAATCAGACACATAAACCAAAATGCAATGATAGGTTTCAAAACTATCCTCTTACCACTTTACCATCTCTTTGGAACATTTAGGAGTTTGGTTTGGTTTTATCCCAAAATGTAAACCCCTGTTTTGTTGTTGTTGTTGTTTTTGTTTTTGTTTTTGTTTTGAGACATTGTCTCGCTGTGTCGCCCAGGTTGGAGTGCAGTGGCATGATCTCGGCTCACTGCAAGCTCTGCCTTCCGGGTTCACATCATTCTCCTCCCTCAGCCTTCCAAGTAGCTGCGACTACAGGCGCCCGCCACCACGCCCAGCTAATTTTTTGTATTTTTAGTAGAGACAAGGTTTCACCGTGTTAGTTAGGATGGTCTCGACCTCCTGACCTCATGATCTGCCCACCTTGGCCTCCCAAAGGGCTGGGATTACAGGCGTGAGCCACCGCGCCCGGCCCACCCCTAGTTTGTTTTTAAGTTGTCAGTAAGGATTTAAACATCTGGACTGTGCTTAGAATATAGTCAACTGCGGTTTTATCTCCCCTCCCTTCCATCTTCTCCCACAGAAGGTGAGTCCCCTGCAATTCAGCTCCCCCACCCTACTCCCTTGCAGTGCCCCAGCTGTGTTACTGAGGGGAAATGTGAAGCCTCAGCAGTCCACATGGGAGGCCAAGACAGCTGTGGGGCATTCCTGACCAGCCATCTGCACCCGGCAGGGTTGGAATCCAATCCGGCATGACTCTTTCTAAATGTTGCTTCCTATGGGACAGCCTCACCCTGTTAGGCTGACCTGAGTTTGCATTCCTGAGCTCAGCCTGGGGAGTGTGCATGTGATCTCCTGTGGCAAGGAGAACTCCCCCTACTAGAAATGCAGCCATTGCTTGGGCCCACCTTGGATCAGCCACAGCAGGCTGCAGCAAGCTGCCTATGGGAGGAGGGGGCTGGAGCAGGAAATGAGAGTTAAAAGAGCCTTTTCAGGGGTGTGATCAGGCCAAAAACAGGAAGATCAGCAACTCAATCTTAGGCCTCTGGGGTTAAAAGCAAAACGAGAGAGAGAGAGAGAGAGAGAGAGAGAGAGAGAGAGAGGCAGAGAAAGTTTACTAAACAAATAAATGTCCCATAGAAAGGTTGTATTGAGCCTGGGCAACATAGCAAGGCCCTGTCTTTACAAAACAATTTAAAAATTAGCTGGGTGTGGTGGCCTATGCCTGAATCTCACTGTTCAAGCACAGCCTGGTGGACACAGTCCTAGCTACTTAGGAGCCTGGAAGTAGCAGGAATGCTTGAGCCCAGAGGTTTGAGGCTGCAGGGAGCTACGATGGTACACTGTGCTCCAGCCTGGGGGACAGAGAGATCCTGTCTTGGGGAGAAAAAAAAAAAAAAAAAAAACAGGTCCTATTGAATGATACTGCGGCACATGGTGCTCTCAAAGAAGATGAGTTACTTTCTCCATGTGTTTGTGCCCCCTGGCAATGACCTTGAGTGTCTCCTGCGCCATCATCCTTGCTGCTGATGATACGACAGCCGCAGTGTAAGAATCCCAGCATCATCGTACACACACCCCACCCCCAACACACACACACACCAGATACAGTCAGTCGCTCAGCGCGAGGAGCAGGCTCTTGGAGAAAGCTCTGTCCATGCCTCCTCAGATCCCCGCGCAGACCGGCTCACCTGGGTTCCTGCCACAGTTTCCCGCCTGTCTCTCTCCGCCAGACCCTCCGCTGCCTTACAGGGCTACCTTCCACGTGGAAGAATCAGAATGATCTGATTGAGTTACTCTCATGCTTTCCACCTCTCAGTGGCTCCCAAATCAAATTAAAATCCTCAGCAAAGCACACCAGGCCCATCACAATCACGCCTTCACATCCCTCCAGGCCCGTCCCTCTACCTCTGCATCCACCCACACGCTGTTCCCGCAGGTTGCATTCCTTGCCTTGGGTGTGCTGTCCCCTCTTCATACTCCAAGATTTAGCTCCAGCTGCCCCCACACTGCCTTTCTCAGAAGCTTCCTGGCACCCTCCCCAGGCAGAGTCGACCCCCTTCGAACCTCCATTGTGTCTCCCGCACACCTGAGCCTTCCAGACTGAGTTGGATCCTCTCCTCGCGTTTCCTGTAGCTCATGCGCTCGCCAGGATCGCGGCACTGTGGGGTAACTGCTCCGGTGCTGCCTGCTTCCTTCTTAGATGCAAACTCCTTAAAGGAAAAAGCAGATCTTACTGAAAATTAAAGTCCCAGCTCTCGCATGATGCTGGGCACACAGCTGGAGTCCTGAAGAATTTGCTGGATAGAGGAATGAATAAACGTAGCCCTTAAGCAGTGAGTTCCTGTCTCTCTCCTTCCTTAGTAAATGAGGTCATTGGGAGCAGGAAGGATTCTATTCATCTTTGTGTCTCTGGTGCCCGGGCGGAAGCTGGCCCTTCACAGGCAGGCAAAGGTGCATTTCACTCACTTGTTCTGGCTATTCCAGAATTTGGATAACTTATAGTCCCATGTCTCTCTGAGATTCTAGCAGGACCCAGGGACAACCTATGGGAAGACAGGGGTAGTGTGGGAGTGGGGTTTCTTGGAAGCTCACCTTGCTGGGATGAGTGACTCAGGTTCTCCCAACTTTGAAGTTCAGGGCCCAGCTTCAGGTGGCCCCCATCTCGCCCTGCGCTGGAGGGTGTGTGTTGGGTGGAGGGGGCACACATGCCAAGGAGGGGCGGTGAACATTGGGTGCTTGGGAGATGGAAGGGCCAGCTCAGTGCAGACGTAACAAACCGAATGGCAGCGCCCAGGAGAGAGCATTTGGTGGCAGGTGACCCTCATGAGGATCAGAGTCTCAGGCCATTTGGCTCAGGTGCTCCGACCAGCCCCTCTGCTGACCCTGGCTCCCAGCCCCGTGACCTGGCAATGACTCTCCTCTTCTTAGAAAAAGGGGGAGGGTGGCTAATTGAAAACAAACCAACTGCTTCTCCTCTTTCCTCAGCCCTCAGGAAAAGCATGTAATCATCTCCAGGATTTAGAGATCTTTTTCTTCTAAAGTCAAGGGAAACTTGTTGTTCACTCCAGCCATCTTGATGCTGCTGAATTGTGTGGTCTGAGTCCTTGTCTGCTGGAAGCTTTGGACGACACACTGATCTGAGCACTAAGTTTGGAGTCCGAGCCATGGTTCACTGTGCCTCAGTTCTCCCACCCAGAAAGCAGTTGACCCCTTGGTCCAAGTGGCAATGATGCCCAACAGAACTTTCTGTGGTGCTATCCAGAATGATAACACTCGCCACATGTGACTTTGCAGGATGGCCAGGGCAACAGAGGACCTAATCTTTAATTAAATTGATTCACTAATATTTGACTAACTGGACTGCACAGCTGTAAGGTCGAACCTGCTCTGACATTACATCCCATTCCCACAAGCACACCCTTTGTCTCTCTAATTCTCACAGCCACTTTCTCCACAGAGTGATAACTGGGATTATATAGTCTATGTAAAGCCTTTAAATATAGGACGTGGGTCGGAAAGGGCAGAATGCAGTATCAGAAAGACAGCTTACTTTGAAAGTAACAGGCAAAACTGAAAATGATGCACTGGAGAGGAGAGCCTTCCGCCCATCCCCTCTTCCCTTTCGTAATCCTGCAGAGACCACACGGTGTTGCAAATCAAAGTCTGCTCTCTGGCCAGATGTAGACAGAAGCAAAACTTTCATCTCTTTTCTTGCTTCTACATAGTGCTCCTTCTTGAACCTAACAGCCTCCCAGCCTGCCCCTTGGATCTGTTCTAATAGCAGTGATTGGAGCTGTTGTGCTAGGACAGATGGCTTCCTGAGGAGCTACCATGGTGCAGTGAGGACACCTGGGAGCACCCAGAGCTCCGCAACACACAGGCTGAGAGCTGTGCTCTGGTGCCCATCGTCCCTGCAGGTACTGCCGGCTCAGCCCCACCCAGCCCACCCCAGGGCTGCACAGGGTCCCTGTCCTGGAACGCTGGTTTTCTACCCTCGGGCATATTTGCTGATTCTCCCAGACCCTGGCCAATATTTTTCTCCAAAAAAGCCTTCCTGGCAGACCCAGCTGGCACTGCCCTCTCCTTTCTCAGACCCTGCTGTGCAGCAATGTTTCAGAGTCATTCCGCACCTTCAGTTCTGCACCAGTGTCATTCTCCAAATATTTCTGTAGTGTCTCAGCTAGACCAGAGCCTCCCAGTAAGCAGAGGCTGAGTCATCTATTTCTTTTTTATCCACTGTGGCACCAAGCTCAGACTTTGCTCTGTACTACTTACTTGCCCAGTGCTTACTGACTGATTTATTGACCCAGAACCACGTCGAGAATGCAGTCAGGCTATTACCGTGACCTTCGCAATGCAGGCAGGTGAGCTAAGGTGACAGGGGTAGAACCCAAATTACTCACTGGGGCTTTTGTTCTTGCTCTGACTCTACTACCAGCTCAGGTATCAGAATGCACTACCCTATTCCCAGGGGCCCCTGTTTGGTCCAGACTGCACAGTCCCTGCTCTGCAGGGGTTCAGGGACCACGCCAAGGAAGGCCGGTGTGAACATCATAAATGGCACACTGAATGGCACTCATTGTTACTGTAAAGTGCAGGTACGTTCTGTACAGTGAGATCAGACGGGTTACTCAGAGCCAGCAGCCGGGACACACCTGTTCTTTTGCTCTGCATCAAAAATCCCTCTTCTCTCTGCACACATTTCTTCTCTCCCAGTTTCCACGAGGTGGCTAAGGGCCTTCCTGGACATTTCTTTGACTTCTTAGAAACTCATCTAGAAACTCCCTGTTGAGTTTCTAAAATGATAAATTCACTGGCACTCAGCAAATCTACATTTTACATAAGAGAAAGTCAGCGTAGAATAAACGTACCTGGTAACTGGGCACCTAAAACTGGACTTGTAAAAGCCAGCTTTTCTGCCACCACTTCCACCCCTCTAGACTGCTGTCTCTTGCCATAGATTCTCCCTCTGGACCCTTCAGGATGTCTGGCTCACCATGGAGCAGCCCTTGGGCCCTCAGGCTGACTGAATGTCTCATACCCGGGTCAGCCCTCTTAGAGGGACTGCTCCATGCCACTGCATAAACAGAAGAAAGGGTCAGGCATGGCGGCTCACACCTGTAATCCCAGCACTTTGGGAGGCTGAGGTGGGTGGATCACGGTCAGGAGTTCAAGACCAGATTGGCCAACATGGTGAAACCCCATCTCTACTAAAAATACAAAAATCAGCCGGGTGTAGTGGCACGTGCCTGTAATCCCAGCTACTCAGGAGGCTGAGGCAGGAGAATCGCTTGAACCTGGGAGCTGGAGGTTGCAGTGAGCTGATATCACACCATTGCGCTCCAGCCCGGGCAACATGATGATTCTCTGTCCCGCGCCCCATCCTACCCCCCAAAAAACAACAAACAAACAAGAAACAAAAAACAAACAAACAAAAAAAACCAGAAGAAAACACCAGAGTGGAAAGGCCTGTAAAGGAAAATAAAATCTTGGGACCCCAAACTCACTATGCCAAAGGGAAAAGTTAAGCTTGGAAACCAAGTCATGCAAAAACTCCCTTCCTTTTTTTCCAAGACAGCTGTAATTTCTCAGGCTGACTTTCTCTTATGTAGAATGTAGATTTGCTGAGTGCCAGACTAATGGTTAATTGACTTCCCCACTTCTTTTTTTTTTCAGGTGTGAAATGTAGATTCACTGAGCAATACTCAGAGCCTCACAAGCATTGAAACCACTTGTCTCATTGCCTACCCTCCCTCCTTTTATTTTTCCTTTTTCTTCCCCTCCTGATTGCTCTTTTCCCTTTAAACACCGAGGTTCCCAAAACTCTCTTTGGAAAAAGCATAGGACACAGATTCTACTGTGACTTACGTTTCTTTTTCTCTGGTGCCTCCTCAACCTTGGCAAAATAAGCCTCGAAATCAATTGAGATCTGTCTCAGTCACTGTGGTTTACAGACCCAACTCCTGCACTTAGGGAGTAAGGGGAGCCAACAGCACAGATTAGGGGCCTCCTTAGCTGATTTGGGTGACCACGCCCATACCAATTCTCTGACTCCAACACAGCCTGGTTCACAAGACTTCACGATCCTGTTGCAGACTTCTCAGCCACAATTGACACAGGCCAATGGGGCCTAAAGTTCTCCTTGGTTTTTCTGAAAGTGTTAAGAAAGTTGGTGTAGAAAGGTAATGCACACAATTTCTGCATTTCTGCCCTGCAGTAAGGCTCAGAGCCTATGATGTTTAATTGTATGTGTCAACTTGACAGGGATAAGGGATGTCCAAAGAGCTGGCGAAATAATATTTCTGAGTGTGTCTGTGAAGGGTTTCCAGAAGAGACAGCATTTGAATCAGCCAGAGCAAAGAAGATCTCTCTCTCCATGTGGGCAGGCATCATCCAATCCAGAGAGGGTCCATATAGAACAAGAAGGTGGAGGAAGAGTGAATTCTCTCTTCTGAAGCTGGGATGTCCATCTTCTATGGTACTCAGACATTGGAGTTCCTGGTTCTCCCTCAAACTCCCCTCAGGCCTTCAGCCTCCAGTGAGAGTTACACCATCGGCTCCCCTTGTTCTTAGGCATTTGAACTTGGACTGAATTACACTACTGGCTTTCTTGGTTCTCCAGCTTGCGTACCATGGGACTTCTCAGCCTCTATAACTGTGTGAGCCAATTTCCATAGTAAATCTGTTCTTTCATGTACATACATTTCTCCTACTGGGTCTGTTTCTCTGGAGAACCCTGACAAATACAGACTTATCTGTTCAGAACCACTTTTAATATCCCTTTATAAAAATCCTTCCGTTGCTACTTTGAATAATTAGCTGCTCTTGATGGGGACCATGATAATTCTCTTAAGTCGTTTTTTTCTTTACTGTTTCTGATTAACTCCAGGTATGCACTACTACATGCTTTTCAAACTGGAGTACCCGCAGCCTCATTTCTGGGCAGGAAGGATGCAAAACAGCAGAATATAATGGTGCATCTTCCTGGAGCATCAGTTTCATTGCAAGATTTGGAAGAAATGAAGTCAAGTAATTTACAAAAACTATCTCTGTTCCCCCACAAACACAGAAGAAAAAAGAGAGAAGAACAGGAGTGGGAGAGGTGCCTCGAGAAATAGTCCAGTCTCAAGTTCCCCAGGTCGGGGCGGAGGGTCAGCCTGCAGTTAGGACCAGGTGGGCTTCCTTTCCTGTCTCCCAGGTGGCCTCTGATGTCCTTTAGAATTTAAGCTCAGCATTTACTTTGGACACATGAGTTTTGAAGGACATGCAGGTGCCAGATACCCTCATAAATTGGACCCCATGAAGACAACTCTGCCACAACAGATTTTGTATTCCTTCTCTACCAAATCCCTCTCAGCAGGGCATGCTCTGTACACACAGCAAATTGTGCTTGTTGCACTGCTCCCATGTGCAGCTGCTTGAGTCAGCACCTGGCTCATCTCCTGCACCATCTCACAGGGCTCCGCGGACCTCAGGATCTTCATACTGTATGTAAAGTAAAGGGAGAGAGGCTCCTGCAGCTCCTCAAAGTCCTCTCCCACAAAAGGCGGGGACCAGTGGTCATCAGGTAGAGAATGACTCTCAGGCTCCACACACCCATGAAGAGGCCATCATATGAGAAAAAGGAAGAAAGAACAAAGAAAAAGGTAAGAAAATACAACTGAAAAATAAAGTAACAAATTTTAAAAGAAAACGAAAAAATATGGAGAGAAGAAAAGGAAAAACAACAAAACAGAAAAAAAAAAAAATCAAGGAGCGAACAAGCTAACTGTGGTCAAAGTCCCTCAGGTCATCAAACACCAGCTTGCTGAACTGAAAAGATAAAAAACCTAGGCCCAGTCAGGAACTTATATAGGTGCTTGGAATT